AAATTTTGTGGCTTAAATGTAAAAGTATTGATTTAGCACCGGTATCGAAAAAACATAAACGATACCCAACCCTAAGTAGGGGTGTGGGGGTTTGGGGGGTATCGCATATGACAGTGAAGAGCGGGGGGAGATCACGCATGAATGTAAATAGGTGATGGGGTGGGATTCATTCAGCTTATCCAGCAAATGTTTTATGCAGCGGATGCCCTTCGAGCTGCAACCCAACATACCAGCTGAAACACCCATACACACTCATTTACACTCATACATTACAGCCAATTTAGTTCATCAATTCCCCTACAGCGCATGTGTTTGGACTTTGGGGAAACCAGAGCACCCGGAGGAAACTCACAACAACACCGGGAGAACATGCAAACTCCACACAGATATGCCAATTGACCCAGCTGGGACTCAAACCAGTGACCTTCTTGCTGAGGTGAGAGTGCTACCCACTGCGCCACTGTGACGCCCTTGATCAAATATTCAATTAGTGCTTGTTTAAAGGGTCAGTTCACCCAAATCTTTCGCCATCCAATACCAACACGTTTACAGAGTGTGTTGTAGATCAGTGTGACGAAGTGTGTGTGTGTGTGTGTGTGTGTGTGTGTGTGTTTCCTGCTGGTTATTTAGTGGTGACTTTTAATCTACTAAAGTGCTATAAGATGCTGAGATAGCAAAGAAAGCACATCTCCCTTTCATGTGTGTGTTTGTGTGTGTGTGTTTAATACACAGTGGATATTAATGATTTATACGCACACTGAAAATGTATAAAATTGAAGGGTTTTATTTAAAACACAATCCCCATGATGTAAGTAACTATTTCACTAGTAAATATAATTAAATGCAGTTATTTTGTGTAGAGAATCTGTCATAGTTAATCATTAGAATTTATTTCATTCATTTTCCTCCGGCTTAGTCCCTTATTTATCAGTGGTTGCCAAAGTGGATTGAACCGCTAACTATTCCAGCATGTGTTTTATGCAGCGGATGCCCTTCCAGCTGCAACCCAGTACTGGAAACACCCATACACACTTATTTACACTCATACACTACAGCCAAGTTAGTTGATCAATTCCCCTACAGCGCATGTGTTTGGACTGTGGGGGAAACCGGAGCACCCGGAGGAAACTCACAACAACACGGGGAGAACATGCAAACTCCACACAGAAATGCCAGCTGGACGAGTAGGGACTTGAACCAGCGACCTTCTTGCTGTGAGGCCACACTGCTAACCACTGAGCCACCATGTCGCCCAATTTTGTTTTATGTGTATAGTTTTATATAATAATATAATATAATCCTTGTTGCTGACTCTTTTTGTAGATTCTGTAAGGTGTTCTTCTGACTTCAGACTGTCAACTGTATATCGAAACATGAACAGTGTGTGTGTGTGTGTGTGTATTTAAATGTGTGTGTGTGTGT